GTGTGTGTGTGTGTGTGTACTGGTACTAGAGCTTGAACTCAGAGCCTGGGCTTCTTTTGTTCAAGGCTAATGCTCTACCACTTGAGTCACAACTCTGCATCCAGCTTCTTGGTGGTTAATTGGAGATAAAAGACTCATAGAGTTTCCTGCCTGGACTGGCTGTGAACCAAGTTCCTCAGACCTCAGCCTCCTTAGTAGCTAGGATTACAGGTGTGAGCCACAAGTACCTGGCTCAATGAAGACCTTCAATAAGCCACACATCCATGGCCAGATCATGTTGCTGCTCTTCCTATCAAGAGATGAAAGCCATTTCTCCACTGACTTGAATCTGGGCTGTCCTGGAGACTGAGTTTGGTTAATAAAAATGGGGCAGAAGGAAGCTTATTAGCTTTCTTGGAACCTGAAGAGCAACATAACTGAAAAAGTCCCATCTAGCTTCCTGGGGGAGGAGAAGATGTGGAGAACTGTGACACCCCAACTACCAACCAACACTAATCGCCAGTCACAGCAGGGACGTGGCTGCAGCCCTAAGAGAGATCCCAAGGGAAACTCGCAGAAGAGCCATCCACCTGCCATGTCACAGTGGCATGCTACTAAGTGTTGTCACATAGAAACAAATGATAAAGACAGAAATCTCAATTGGATCTTCGCTTAAAACAATTTAATAACTTGTGAAACAACCAGGAAATTTGTTTTCTGGAGACCAGAAGAACTCTAAGGTTAGACACAGCTGCCATATGGTAAAACCTGGCATCTCCCCCCTCCCCTCCTCCTCCTCCTCTTCCTCCTCTTTCTTCTTCTCTTCCTCTTTCTTCTTCTCTTCCTCTTTCTTCTTTTTGTAATTTTTGAAATAATCCAAGCTATGTAGCTCAGGCAGGCTTTGAACTTGTGAGTGACAGGCCGCTGGAGGGCAGAGGCAGCCAGGAAAAGCCACTTCCTAATTCACCACCTGTCCCAGTTATACACCACCTGTCTCAATCATTCTCCGGGGGGTACTAGCCCAAAACTGCTCAAACTCGCAAAACAAGTTACATGCTAAGAGTTCCAGCCATATAAACCCTGCTACAACCCGACTCTGTGCAACCTCTCTGATCCAGACCAGGGAGTTAGCCTGGGAACGTACCCTAATAAACTTTTCTTCCCTCACTTTTACCTCCTCCTGCATGTCCTTTCCTCACCTAAAACCTTACATCTGGTGCAGAACCCAGGAAGGCGGTAGGGCGACCAACGGGCATTGCCCCTTCTTGGCCTTTCTCCTCCCTCCTTTCCGGAGGCCTCCTCCATCGGAGCACAGAGCCCACCCAGCTTACTTTGGGGTAAACAGCCACCTGACAAGACCTTGTGGCCTTTGCCTGCCTAAGAGGTGCATATCCCATGGATGACCACCTAGTGGCTTGGGATATTATTGGTTATTTGTATAAACCCAGCCGAGGCCTCTACCTCTACCCCTCTCTCTCTCTCACCCACCCCCGCTCCCATCAGACCAGGACCTCAGCCTTCTGCACATCCAACCACATTTGGATTGGGTGAGTCGCCACCTACCCTCCCAGGGTGTCCTGGCTTGCTCTCCAGAACTCAGCCCCTCTGTTCCGTTACCATAAAATCACGAGCTCATGTCTGGGTCTCCCTCTGGTCTTTGGTCTAGGTGCTGAGAACAATCAAGGGACACCTGGTCTTCTCTGTCACCTCCGTTTTTATTTGGTAACTATTTGGCTAAGATAGGGATGCCTTCTTCAGCCTCAGTTTTACCCCAGGCTGCCTGAGCACCATGGGAAACCAAAATTCCAAACCAGACCCATATACTCCTCTAGGTTGCTTCTTGGCTTAATCTCAAACCTCTAGGCCTAAGACCTGATCTTAATCTTCCTCTGTAACTGGGAATGGCCTATAGGCCAGCTCGATAACCAGTAGTGCTGGCCTGAAAAATGGGACTTTCAATTTCAATATACTAACTGATCTCCGCAATTTCTGTGAGCCGACATTAAAAGTGGGTTGAAATTCCTTACGTCCAGGGATTCTTCTACTTATACTCCCATCCCTCCCTCTGTCTCTCCCGCCCCATATCTCAAATCTTTCTCATGCAGCAAGATCCCTCCAAAAGCTCCCCCCTTCCTCTCCTGACCCTCTCCCCTCTTGGTTATCCTTCCCACCTGTGGCACGTCCACCACCCTACGCGCTGTCTGACCCCACTGAGCTGAGGGTCTAATGTCTCACCTGGCATGACCTCCATGTTGTACTCTCCTCCACTCTCACTACGGAGGAACGTGAGCAAGTCTATCAGGCTGCCCAGGCTCCTGGGGATGAGATCCTTCTTACAGATACAACCATGCCTGTGGAAACTGAGGCAGTCCCCAGACAGGACCCTCATTGCCAATACCAGATAGACACAGCTGAGAGTCACGATGGCCGCTTGTGTAGAGATAAGATGATTCAGTGGCTTTTGGCTGGATTACAGGCAGCCTCCCATTAAGTTATTAACTTTGGCAAACTGCCGGAAATTACTCAACTTCGGGATGAGTATCCTGCTGCCTTCCTAGCTAACTTACTAAGGCCCTGACTAAGTACACCCATTTGGATCCCACCTCTCTGGCTGGGGCAATCTTTTTGGCCTCTCATTTTATTTCTCAGCCACAGACATAAAGAAAAAACTGAAAAAGTTAGAGGATGGCCCTCAAACCCCTATCAGTGACCTGGTGAATATGGCCTTTAAAGTTTGCCATGCCCGTGAGGAATAGGAAAAGGCTGAATGTGAAGCCCACTCTTGCCAAAAGGTGGCCTACCAACCCAAGCTCTGGTTGCTGCCCTAAGGCCTTCTATGAGACTCTGGAGAAAAGTGCCAACTACCTGGACCCTGCTTCAAGTGTGGCCAGGAGGGGCACTGAGCAAGGAAATGCCCCAAGTCCCATCCTCCCCAGAAACCATGTCTGCTGTGCAATCAAAGGGGACACTGGAAGACTGAATGCCCCTCTGGGCCTAGCCATGGAGGTACAGTTCTTCCCTCCCCTGACTTGCTGCCTTCAGGTCCTGGCCACTGAAGACTGAGGAAGCCCTGCTTCGCCAACCCCAATCACCCTGGAGTCTAGGATAACAGATCCAGGTAGTGGGTAAGGCCGTTTCCTTTTTGGACAATACAGGGGCTACCTATTTTGGTCTTCCCTTCCTACTCGGGGCCCCTTAATTCCTTCCCAGGTCTCAGATGTAGGAGCTGATGGACTTCCCTCCCAGCCACTAGCAACTGGCCCTCTTACATGCATGATGTACAATGGAGGTTCTAAGAAGAATGAGACCTAGCCCTGCCCTTAGCCTTAAAATCTAGCGAACTTCTCCACCCAAGCGGTGCCTTGAGGCAATTCTGAGATAACCCAGTTCCACAAGTCAAAGGAAAAATGTGCAGTTTTAAAGTCTAGCCACAAAGACCAAGGAATTGTAAAGGGGATAGTAAAGAAAAGTCTTGGGGAAGGAATTGAAAAAAAAATGGTTTCCTATAAGAAAGGGTTTGAAAATGTTTGTTCCAAAAGGAAAGAAGACAAACCTCAGAAAGTTTAAGTATGTAGCAAATAGTATGAGTATGTATTAAAAATGGAGCTTATGGGTAAAGCTGGTATGAAATTAACTTGGCTATGATATACAGTCAGGATTGGTGCACTGAAGGGCGAGGTGAGTTGGCTCCTACCCCATGATCTCTCTCCTCACTCCAGCGCCAACTTAACCTCTTAGCACCTAATCCATGACCGGCCATTTTTCCATTCCTTCCTGGTTATGCCTTCCTGTCCTACTCCCCGTATGCGGTGAGACCTACTTGTTAAGTTACATGCCACTTTGATCTGGACACCTCCTAATTTGGCCCTGGCAGCCCCTCTGTTATTAGTTTTTTCCCCCAATGAACCCATGTCATCTTCTTCATCCTCCTCCTCCTCCTCCTCCCCCTCCCCTTCCTCCT